GCTGTTACCAGAGCAGGGAGCAGCAGCGGTCAAAATACCTCAGAAACTCAAACAAATAGGCTTTAATGAGGCTTTAATAAGCTAAACAATAGAGGTACTTGAGAAAGCGTGTTCATAACGAACAAAAATAAATAAATAATTAAATTGCATCCATGCTGGTCTCAAACCCTGGTCTCCCAATCTCTGGTCCAACACTCTACCCATTGCCCTATTGGAGGCTTGTTGTGAACAGAGCTACACATTACACAACAACACAGTGACGACTTTTTATACTGAGGAGGTGGAGTCTCATCCGGGGGTTGCTAGGTAAGGGACTGAACACAGGTTCTGGTGGGTTGTCATACGACTTGTGACATCACAAAATGATGGAAGTATAAAACTTGTCATTAATATACATTAAAAATACATTTACTCATGGTAAATATGCACCTGGGTGCATTTTTTTTGGTCTTAGGACTGTTTTTTTAAGAAGTACATACCCAAAGTTCAGTAAAAAAAATCTTTAAAAAGTGAATTTTGCATAATAGCTCCCCTTTAAAGAAAAGTCTTCAGGTATCAACTAAAGAAACATTACTGGTTCTTTTTTCTGACAACTGTTGCTCACAGAAGTGAATTAGTGATAAATAAAGTCTAATTACTTTTTGTTTATTTAATTTTAATTGCTTCTCACACTTCTTACACCTTTGCTTTAAATTTCCCACCTTTACTTAGAAGCAAAACTCAGTTATAAAAAAACTAAGTCTGTAAAAGGTATTTTTTGACAYAGTGGTGAAAATCTTTTGTTAGATTTACACATCTTCCCACATTCCTTCCATTTCTTTATGATAGATTAAATCGAACTCCAGGAGTTTGGGTTTTATAAAAACGTTTGCGTAAAAAGTGGCATATGCAAGTTTCTGGGTCTGTTTTGTGCGAGTTTCCTCTGTCTGTGCGACACAGCGGAGGGAGTGTGTGCATGAAGGAGATCACGCAATAAATTCAGGGATAAATGTGGAAGTCATAATTATTTCTGTGGAAGATGAACTCCAAACACAGCTGAAAACAGATATATATAATATATAATATAATATAGCTGGAATTTCGATAAAATTAATACGCCCTAGGGTTTCTTATTGAGAAAATATGGATGTTGTGCTTGTTCCTTTTCCTGTTGGTGCGATATGATCTCTGTAATCAACTCCGGAGCAGCTACGGTGTTACACCATATTTTGTGACCATCATATATAGTGACCRGAGGGGGCGCTGTTGCGTTTCTACAACAGAACTTGGCCGAACATGACCACAAAGAAGAATATGATACGCCAACGGTGTAAGCCAGAGGCTGAAGACAAACGAAGAAAAAACAAAAACTGTTGACTGTTGTTATTAAACGTGGTCACAGAATATGACAGCTGTCATATACTGTGACTTCACTGTAGCTAAGGAAATAGTAAAAAAATATTCAAAAACTATTTATACTAATTGTTTACATCCTCTAGTGTCAGAAAAATAACTTTTGATCACTGACATGGTGACTGTTATTAAATTAGTACAGGGTCACATAATATGATAGCTGTTATAATGTATAGTAGTAATAATAGTAATAGTCAACATGCCAGTGATTAGGTTATTTTTCTGACATTAGAGGATGTTTACAATTAGTAGAATCAGTTTATGAATAAATATTTTTGTTACTTACCAAGCTACTACAGTGAAGTCACGATATATAACACAGTTGTCATATTTTGTGACCTCTGGGTTACACTTTTGTRGTATCATATTCTTCTTTGTGGCTATTTTRGGCCAAGTTCTGTTGTAGAAATGCAACAGCGCCCCCTCTGGTCACAATATATGATGGTCACAAAATATGGTAWAACACCYGCAAAAATAGGATCGGATCTAATTTTGGCGGATGGCCGTTTGTTGACCGCCGCCCTGCGCCGCTGCGTGGAGGGTTAGTTCTTCACATTTAAGATAATTTTGTTGTTTTATGATATTAATAATACTAACATTTTGATATTTTGGTAATTTCTATGTATTTTTGCTTCTGTTTAGCGTCGTCACGTCTATGTCTCTGGGCTGACCTACATATAGGTCTACATCTGTTACTTTAGGGATGGTTTATGTACCTTATTGGGAAACAAAARGCTTATTTTTGTGTGAATAACTTTAGCAAAACTGTGATGGAAACAAAACTATAAGAGTGGAAAAAACATTAAAAGGGKTTCAGTGCTTACTCTTAATTCAGAAGATTTTGAAAGTAAAAGGTTATTTTTCTTAAAATAAAATAAAAAAACAAATGGGGAAAACAAATAAACAGATGCGTTTAAAGAGAAATTAAAATCTGCCGTTAAAAATGCAAATTTATTCAGTTGAAAGACACCATCGCTTACTTTACGTCCCAATAAATCATGTCATAAAAAGCTCCGTGGGCAGGTGCTGTCACCCTGCTGTAGATCAATCAACAACACGTCCTCACCTGCAGCATCACGGGTTGAAGTCATTTTTCATGTTCCCTATCACAGATTATACATTCAGAGAGGACAAACTCAACTGGGTAATGGTCATGCAAATCAGGTTTTAGTGTTTCTACCACTCTGTTGCTTTTATGGTCCTGATYTGATTGAAAGTTTTTTTTTAAATAAATACGAGACACATAATGATAAACATCACTGAAGCTCGAAACAAACAAGCAGAAAAGATGAACACCACCTTTCATGCKAGAGTTTTAAACAAAGACCATCTTATGAGGAGAAGACATCGTTTGAACCATTTTGGTCAAACGTGATCTCGTAAGCAATCTCACGCAATGATGTGAAATCTTGTTAAGAGTGATAGCGATTAAGAAATATCGAGTATGACTCATTGCTGCTATCTCACTAAACTTAAGCTTAAAATGTGTAAAACTGACTGAGTTGCAACCATTTCATGTTGATAAGTAAAAACAAAGGAGATATACTGATTAGGAGAGTTGAAGTCTTTAAAAACAGTCATGACAAGATGATCTTAAAAGGAGGGGGTCTCTTCATGCTACACCCATGTTAGAGTTGTGAATTTCAGCTCACTGTCTGTTAACTGAATGAYCTGCAGTCGTCTCTGAGCTGGCTAATGTTGGTTAACTGTGGTTGCTCCAAAACATAAACCATTGTAAATGTATGAACTGACTGTTTACTGAGTCTCATTAAATCTGTCCATTAATCCTTTATATATTTTGCTAACAACAGCCTATATGCCAAGGACATCCGGTCCAGCTACTTGGTGCCACCCCGTTCACTTCTGGTTCATGGTCAACACAGTGTTAGCGAAAGATTTTTTCACCCGACAACGACTCTTAATGATCTCCACAGTACAGAATTACATATTACATGTACCAGCATTAACACAGGACACGTACAGGTCCAGCCAAGTGGAAAAAATCACTCCAAAGTGGATTAAAGACATCAAAACAAAGGAAAGACGTTTGTGTTTATGGTTCCAGAATTTAGCCTTTTTCACTATTCCNCTGGCTAATGTTGGTTAACTGTGGTTGCTCCAAAACATAAACCATTGTAAATGTATGAACTGACTGTTTACTGAGTCTCATTAAATCTGTCCATTTATTTATTTACCGTTATTTTACCAGGCAAATCCCATTGAGATCTCAGATCTCTTTTTCAAGGGCGGCCTGGGCCTGAAGGCAACCTATTGTACATGTTTTTGTGTTGTGGGGGAAACCGGAGTACCCGGAGAAAACCCACGCAAGCACGAGGAGAACATGCAAACTCCGCACATAATAATAATCCTTTATATATTTTGCTAACAATAGCCTAAATGCCACGGACATAAGGTCCAGCACTTGGTGCCACCCCGTTCACTTCTGGTTCGCAGGCAACACAGTGTTAGCGAAAGTTTTTTTCACCCGACGACTCTTAATGATCTCCGCAGTACAGAATTACATATCACATGTACCAACATTAACACAGGAGACGTACAGGTCCAGACAAGTGGAAAAAAATCACTCCAAAGTGGATTAAAGACATAAAAACAAAGGAAAGACGTTTGTGTTTATGGTTCCAGAATTTAGCCTTTTTCACTTTTCCTTGGCTGCTTGTTCTGTGAATTTTTCACGTAGAGCTGTGACACTTATATTGTTGGAAAGAGCAGAGTCTGGGCTTTAAATTGATGGGCTACTTGTATGGTTTGGATCGTTTTCTCCGGCGTTTGTGAACTGAAAACGTAATGATTATCAGGCGGAGGTTCTCCGGCACTCGGTGGGGGGGGTGGCTCGTCACTCGGCTTTAGTCTATGCTGTAATATACACTCTAACAAGTTTTACTTTTGCATTAAACTCATGACAAAGTTGCCTAAAAACATTTCATACTCTGTATAACACAAACACGCACACACACCTACCTGCTGTGTTAGCTTCCTGCTAGCTGTGAGGKGGTCTTTCCTCTCTCGTCTTGGCAGTAAAAGGGGATAAATGTACATTTCTCTTTTGTAACCTTCGTCTTCTCATTTCTGATGCTGGCTCTTGAATATCCTCAGGTTAGAAATGCTGATTACAAACACAAGCGTGAGATTTTATAGCTAAGTTTTCCCTGTAATGCTATGATCCACAGCTGTCACCTTTCCTCCTCATCAAAAGGAAAATGGATAAAAACTAACTACTCGATCGTACCTGCTGGTTAGTGGACACAACGACACCCAACAGAACTCACGTTTTATACCAGTAGATCACAGATACTTAAATTTTTGTGAATTTTCACGGACTAGTACTAGCAGCTAACGCTAAAAACATAGGCAGTAAGCAGGAAGTGGAAGGGAGGAGCGTGGCAAGAATTTTACCGGAAATATATCATTAATGACCGTGGCATATAGGCTATTGAGCAGATGTGACTCCAACAGGTAATGACAAAGTTTTATAAACAAATGGCACTTAATTTGTTTGTCCTTGAATATGTTGGAGATCAGTTTTGGTTATCACCACCAAATTTAAACTCAATGTCTGCAAAGTTGTCAGAGTTGTATACATTTGTGTTTTTGCAAAGGTTGGTTTAAGGTTTATGTCAGACGAGTTGTTTTCAGCTGAACCTGCCATAACATTGTTTTCATCATCAAAAAGCATCAAAAATGTGTTTTTGTATACAAATTGATAAAATATTTTCTGTTGCAGTGCCCCCGACACCAATCGCACCCCCCCAGCTGCTGCGGGCAGGTCCCACCTACCTGATTATCCAGCTCAACACCAACTCCATCGTTGGAGATGGACCGGTCATTCGTCGGGAGATCCAGTACAGGGCCAGCCAGTCAACCTGGACTGAGACTCACATTGTGGGCTCTCTTACCTACAAGGTCTGGCACCTGGAGCCAGACACAGAGTACCAGATCAGTGTCCTGCTCACACGGCCCGGGGAGGGGGGTACCGGAGCACCTGGACCACCGCTCGTCAGCAGGACAAAGTGTGCAGGTGAGTCGTACCCAAACATCCTGAGACTTATGACTGCCAGGAGGAATCTTTATGGATGGGATGGATCTCAGTTGGAGGGATTTCCTCTCAGGGATAGATAGATAGATAGATAGATAGATAGATAGATAGATAGATAGATA